TTACACCAAAAACCTTTATTTATTATTATTACTTTAATAATAAGGAATTAAATTAGTAAAAAAGTAGAAGAAATAACAATAATATAGAACAATAATAACATTAATAATTAATATAACGGTAATAATAACAATGATTATAATTATATAATAAATCTTTTTTTAATATATTAATAAAACGTAACGGTTTCAATCCTTGGTTCTGTACGTTCATTTTTCCCAGGATAATTTCTTTTTATCCAAATTTTTTGATACAAATCTAAATCTGTTCTTCTACCATCTGCATAACAAGTCTTTAATCGATTTTGCAATTCATCAGATCTCGGTCTTTGTTTCCTTCCTTTGCCAATTTTGGATGAAAAATCAATATCTGTATCTTTAGCAAGTTTATGAAATCTTTTTAATGCTTCTTTACATCCATCAAGATTTTCAACTGGTTCCCAACTACAAATATATATATACATGTGTGTGTGTGTATGTGAGTTTTATATTTTTTGTGTGTAAATATATATGTGTTAATACTTACGTGGCTTTTGTGTAGCCTTTCCATTGTATTAAATACATTTCTTTACCCTAATAAATAACAATAGATTTAATAGGATTTAATAAATTTATAAATCTATAATATATGATAATGAAATAATTATTTGCACCTACATCAATAAGTTTTTTTGAATGGACAGCTTCAACTTCATATCGATCATTAGTAGCAGGTTCATGAATATTATCATCATCATTATCAAATTTCAACTCGTCATCAATAACACCGGTATTGTTACTTTTATTTTTATGTGAATGAAGCATTTTTCCTGATTCAGTCCTAGCAACATTCTTTTTGGGTTTTCTCCTTATTGTTATATCGTCATTATCATCATTTTCATTGTCATCATCGTCATCGTAATCTTTTAAATCAATATCCATTTTATAATCGTCATTGTTATTATCATTGTCGTTATCATCATTACCATTATCATCATCATACATATATTTACTTTTATTACTTTTTACAATCCTTGCTTCTTCATCTGAATCATCAACATTCATTATTGTTCTCTTCCTACTAATAACATTACGAAATGGCGGCAAACTATTATTATTTCTATTGTTCTTGCTGCCATTGCTAATGTCTTCTCAGTGCCAATAACCAGTTAATTAATAAACAACAGATATATGATTAAAAACTATTATATAAAATATAAGATTTAAATATTATATCTACCTTCGTCAAAATCCATTTTTTTTTTGAGATTAAAAAAACGCAATTCTTGAAAAACTAAAACAAGTAATAATTAATTGATTTATAATAAAAAAAGCAGTGATGGATTTTCGCAATTGGCCAATAGTAATTTTTGAAAATTTAGGGATTTTTCATTTCTTTTTTCGTGACTAAAAAAAGACCATTATTATATTAAAAAAGAGCAATATCATTGTCAAATGTCCTCGTTGTTACTTTTAACTGAAGAAAGGTGTAAAAGGACCTTTGGTAAAACTACTTTCAGAAATAAGTAAATGATAAAAAAAGAAGAAAATGTTTTATTATATATATGTGTGTACAAGGCACTCCCGTTATGACGACAGCTCATTATATGACAATCTCATTGTAATGATTTTTTGTTTATAAATATAAATTTGTCCTGTTATAATGAAACCCGTTATACTAGTAGTAATTTGTCAAAAATTTTTTAGCAGTATCTTGCGTGATGTGCCACAAAGTTTTGATTGGAAAAACTTTTCACTGGTAAAAAATTTTTATCATTTGGAAGAAATTGCTTGCGTTACAAAGTTGCGAAGACCTTCTTTATGATAAAAAATAAATTTAAACATTTGCTTTGTTTTTATTTTAGTAGATTTAAATAAGTTCAGCAAAAATGCACATGATTTATTTAAAAAAAAAAAATATCAATCAACTTGTATAAAGATGATTGAAATTTGCATGCACTACTACTACATACAAACACTAATTTTAAAATAAAAAACCCTGTTTTACTGTTTTAGTATAATTAATATTAACACAAAACAATAATTTCTTTAGTCATTTTTTTAGAAATAACAATAATTCTCTTTTATTTATTTGTTTATCAATTTTAGTCTGTCTGATCAATAAATCTCAGGTCTCAAGATAATTTATCTTATCCATTTTTAGTAATAATAAATAACTTAAATCTAACCAGTTGAAGATTTTTATTTCTTTTTTATATCAATTATTGAATATATGGGGGGATTTCCAGCAAAATATGGTTAGGAACATAATAAACCTTTTGAGAAAATGACTAGGGTTTTTATTCATGAATATCATGAATATCATTAAGGGGGTTACACACTATTAAAACAGCAAAAAATCCCTTAAAAACATGAGTTGATCACTTGATTTTAATAGTGTGTGACCCTGCGTGACCCCCTTATGATATTCATGAATACAAACCCTAAAAATGACTCCCGAAAATTTGTTACACGAAAATTGATTGTTTTGAACCCCAAAAACTTTTAGACAACGTATGACAAAAATTATTAAAAATAAATTTTTGGTGAAATGGCCGAATTTTTTTATTTATCAAAAAAATATAATTAAATCATGTATTTAAATTTTGAATCAATTCATAATGATGTCATAAATTTAGAAGATCACAAAAAATAACCTCAAATCTTGAACTGTATTAAGCACCAATTCATTTGGTTCATATTCTTCTAACCCTAAATCATATAACTCATGTGGGAAAATTAAATTTTCAGATAATTCCATAGTATTTGGGTGAAGATGAATCAAACTGTAGTTGTTGTAAAAAGAAAGATAAAATATGTTTTAAAAAAATTGGCCTTAAAAATTTTCTAGGAAGACAATTCCAATTAAAAGGATTAGATAAAAATGAACTAGATCTCTGTATTAAAACACAATTGATGGTCTTTAAATCAAATGATGAAAATGATGAAACAAAAAGACTTGATTATAATTATCAATACAACTCATCAATAACTATTTGTCAACAAGTTTTTTTAAAACAATGTGGTTTTAGTAAAATAAAATTATCAGCTTTGCAAGATCATTTAAGAACTGATGGTTTGATTGATTGTATTCATGGTAATACTAATAAAGTTCCTCAAAATAAGTCACATGTAATTGTTAATTTTGAAATTGCACAATTAGTTAAGAATTTTTTATTGCAATATTCAAATTTACATGGATTACCATCTCCTATGAAAATTAGAGATGAATTAGAAGAAATAATTTATTTGCCAACATATATGAAATATACCACAGTATATGAAGAATTTAAAAAATCTTTTAATTCAGAATATGAATCCATTAGACCTATTGCACATACTACATTTTACAAACTATGGAAACAATTAACACCATACATCAAATTCCAACCACCTGGAACTGACCTTTGTGACACTTGTGAAGCATTTAAGACAAATTTAAAATTTGCAAATGATGATGATGAAAAAGAAAATATCAAATTTGAATATAAAAAGCATCAAATGGATGCAGAGTGAGAAAGAGGCCATTATAATAAATAAAATAATTGAAAAAAGAACAAATGATTCAACAATAACACATATTTGTTATGATTGGGCCCAAAGTGTTGCAGCTCCATTTTCCCCTCAACAAGTTGGATCAATTTATTTTAAATCCCCTTTCATCATACACATTTTTGGTATATGTAATACAAATGATGTTAAGAGTGATCAATCAAATTATACTATAGGAGAAGATGAATTACCAGAAGGAAAATCAAAAAAGGGAGCCAACACAACTTTAAATATGGTTTTTGATTTTCTCCAAAAAAATCATCATGTTGATAAAAAAGATCTTTATGTCACATGTGATAATTGTTCTGGACAGAATAAAAACAATTTGTCACTTTGGTTTTGGTCATGGTTAACAATGTTGGGTTTGTATGAGAACATTTATATAAATTTTATGATACCTGGACATACAAAATTCATTTGTGATGCTAAATTTGGATCTATTAAAAAATTATACAAGACCAGTCATATAAATACTGTGATGATGTAGAGACAGTTATAAACAATTCATCTAAATATAATAAGTCAATTAGATATAATAATAGACTAGGTTGGAAGTGGTATGACTTTATTTATTGTTAGAAGATCATTTTAGAACTTTACCAATTATAAAAAAGCATTATCATTTTCACTTTAATAATTCACCAAATAATATTGGAATAGTTTATTTTTCAAAAAAATCTGGTGGAGAAGAATATTCTTATAATCTCCTTAAAAATAATGGATTTGATAAAAATGCACAATTGAATTTTCTTGAAGTTGCTCCTTTAACAGATGACCGTAAAAATATTTATATAATAACATTTGTCAGCATGTAGATAATCCATATAAAGATATCCTTTGCCCAAACCCTAATTAAATTTTATTATCATTACTTGTCATTTTATTAGCGGATAATTTTGTTTTAGTGATTTGATAAAAATGATTTATTTAATTTTGCATTTAGTCGAAACTAATTATTAAGTTAATTTGTTATATACAAAGTTATTCTTCGACTACAGCGAATTCTTGTTCTTTATATGTTAGATTATATGTATCCCAATTTGAGATGATTCTCTCAGTTTGGGATGATTCTCCCAAGTTGGAATGATTCTCCCAGTCTGGGATGATTCTCCCAATCTGGGATAATTTTCATTAATTTCTACTAAATAAAGGTCTAATGTTAACATGTTACAAATTAATTAAATCTGCGGGAAGTAACACGAGTTCATATAACTAATTAAATCATTCGGATAATAAATAAAAATAGAATATAGTAAAAATTAAAAATAAATAATAGACAAAATAAATAAAATAAATAATATAGATAATTTCACTCCGGAATTACGGGGTTATCGATCAGCGAATTAAGGTCAAATTCGCATTCCGGTGACACTAGCAACATGAAACTTATATAATAACTTTCACTTTTTGCATTTCTAAAATTATTAAGAGCTGACTCCATCTTATTATATGGGGCATACTGCAACAAAACTAGACAAAGTGAACATTGGTATTACCAAAGATTTCAGGGATCAAAATTTAGTAATGTGGTTATTAAAATCTTCCATTT